AAAAACTATTTGGCACCTAATCCTATAGTGCATTACATTTGATTTGCAAGCATTAGCTAGTCAACTTCTACATGTTAAAATGAATACACTACATCTTCCTTGGTACAAATACAATGATGTTACTTCTAACTTGCTACTAACCGCTAAAGAGTGACTGCTATTATGGCAACTACGAAACAATACTGGATACATTTAAGTTGGTATACCACTTCAGCATAGCTCCTATTATCTTCTCGGTGGCTACCATCACTTGATATTTGTACCAATTTCCTTCTAGTAGAATTGATGCTTGAGTCATGAGAAATTTGGCATATTCTATCCCGCCATATGAATATGCCACAACATCCACACTTCAAATACCAACGCCCGTGGACATTGTTTCCTTCAATTGCATTGGACCACAATGACATGGGCAAAAAATTCTTCTACAAAGGCCTTGCTACTAAATGAAATCCCTGATATTATACAAACATCAATAAAACATCAATGAAATCACTATTATTACTAGGCGCGCCCCATTTTTCTCTAAGCTGGACAAATATATCCTTTCCTTCTTTTAACAATTTGTTTTACTACACGTGTCACCAAATTTATGGGATTTGGGATTATCGTATTAGACCAACAAAAAATCTCCTAAGCCCCATCCACTGACGTGAAATTTTTCAATTGATATACGTTGTATATAGAATCTCCCAAGTGTGCTGTCTTATTAACATATTACTACGTATTAAGTTTCGTTTATTTGTATATTTTAGAATGTTAGATTAGTATAAAAATTTATCAATCTAAGACATGAAAACTATCCATCTAAAATCTAAAATATCATAGATTTTAATTTATTTAATTCTTAATTAATTTCATTGCTAATTTTTGAAGACATTTTCTTCACAAATGTTTATTATTTTAATAAGAGTAAGTAATATTTAGACTTTTTAAAATATAAAAAGACATCAAAATTCATGGTACTTTAGATCTTAGATGAATAACTTTCAATCACGCAGATCCTATATCGATAGTCATATATACATGTACATCGATCTTGTTTTTCATGGCGATAGCTTGACTTATACAGATCTGATCATCTCAGGTTAGACTTTTACAATAATAAAATTCATATCCATAATACGTTTATCGAATCAGGCTTAAAAAGAATGAACCAAAATACAAATACTTTTTCCAAATTTTACATATACAATATTGTGTTCAAATGAAAAACCATTAAAAATATTCAATTTGACATTTTTTTATTAAAATCGAAGTATAAAAGAAAAAGTTATACCTAGTAACATTTTAAGACAATGGTTTATCACATATCACGAAACTATTGGTTGTAACTTGTAATCAATTTTGAGATTGATTGAAATACGTTGGGTCATATTGGTTTGTACGGTGTGCAGCTATTATTAAGGAGCAATAGTAATCTAAATTTAATTAAATACGACGTAACTTAAAAGGGTAAATTAGTCTTAGAAGGGTTACATTAAGTAATGGTGTAGGTGCGCCTAGCAATCCCCTCTCTGAAATAATTTATACAACCACATTCTTCCTTCAATTACATACTCGTTTCGTAATATTAACAATAAAAATACAAACCAACAGCCTGTAATTGATTAAAATTGATTTAATTTCCTCTATATTACTATTAGAGTTTTCATTTCATAAACATGACAATTTTTACATTTTCCAAAAATATGACCTCATTAAAACACTCCAGCCTATTTCCGTCTTCCCATCTTTCCCTAGTGACATCGTCCCATCTTCTTCGCTCCCGTAGAAGCGTCATCGAACCAAGAGGCGAAGCATCCAGCGAACTCGGAACCAGAGGCGAAGCATCCATGTCGTCGTCCTTGCAACGCCTCCATATCCATTAGGCCAGCCAAAACGTGAGTCGTCATGACATTGTCCCAACGCACCATTCCATTCCAGAAGCTGGAAGAACAGATCTGGTCTGATTTCCATCAGATTCATTTTGATTTCCATCAGATTCATTTTGATTTCCATTCGATTCGTTTTTGTCCTCGTTCAATTCATTCTTCATCGTCTTCGTCCTCCCTCTTCTTCTCCTTTTTTCTCTTTCAACGACAGTACGACTAGAATCTAACGGCTAGGTTTTGGGATGCGAGGAAGGTAAGGGATGGGATCTGGGTAGGAGGGGGGCGACTGCAGAGGTTTAGGGCCGGGGTGTGGGTAGAGGAGCAGAGGAAGGGGCTGGGCAGTTGAGGAAGGGACCGAGTTTAGGGGTATCCGGCGGTGGCCGGACATGGTGGTCTTCAGCGATGGTCGGGGTGCTGTTGTGGGGTTGTGGCAGGGTAGTGGGATTAGGGATGCTGCAACCATTGTGCAGGGTTGGGGCAGTGTGTGGTGGGGTAGGGGTGTACTGGACGTGAGGTTCGGTGGGGCTGGAGAGCGGTGGGTGGTTGGAGTGGTGGCCGGAGCGGTTGGGTTGGGGAGGTCTGGGGGCTGGGGGATAGGGAGTTGAGCCAGGGCTGGGGAATAGGGAGTTGAGCCCGGGCTGGGGTGGCGGCGGCCGGGGTGGCGGCGTCATGGCGGCGGCAGAGTAACTGTGAATGGTGGGGCGACAGCCACAGTGATCGGAGTCACTGTGGCCGGTGGGTGGGTAGTTACTGTGGTCGGTATGTGGATCAGTCACAATGACTCCAATCACTCTGGTCGGAATCACTGTGGCGGCGGAGTGGAGGCGAGTCACTTTGGCCGAAGTCACTTTGGCCGGAGTTTTGTACAACATTAATGTGTCACATTTTACCGACATTATTACTCCGTATGTTTTACAATCAGTGACACTATATTTAGTGTCATTAGACGACACTTTTCCCGACGCTTTTTAGTGTCAGAAATTTTCAGCGACACTAAATTAGTGTCACTATAAGCTTTTTTTTTAGTTGTGTTGGTACATAATTATTGCTTTAAGAGCATCACCAATGGGAGGTCAATTGGGGATAAAAAAAAATTGATCCCACTTGATCCCCACTATGGGAGCTCAATAGAGTGGTCGATCAACATGGAAGCTTAAAAATGGCATCTGACATGTGACTAACCAATTAAAGAGTGTCATGTGCTTTTTATTTAGAATGAAGTCACCAACCTCATCAAACATTCCCAAACTCTCTAATTTCATTTATTATTGATTAAATTTAATTTATTGCAAAACAAAATTATACCAAAAATTAGATTTTTTTTGTCTTTAAAAGACACCAATGAAGGATATGTTTAATCACTTCGAAATTTATCACTTCTTTCCCTCTTGCATTTTATTTTATCTGTTTTAGAATATTTTTTCCTCTGAAAATGGATCCATCCCGTTCTCTTCGTAGATACAATGCCAACAATAAATAATGATAGTGGGTCAAATGTGGATTTTATATTCCTTTTTCAAATTGTATAAATTAATAATGGTGGAATATACCAAAAATATGGAGAGAGAATATACAAATTTTAAGTGACCTAGGTCACCATAGTGGCGGGAAATGATAGGGAAGAGAGAGGAGGGGGATCAAAACCCATCAGCCCTGTGGATGCTCTAAGGATATGTTTGGTTCAAGGAATGTCAGATTACCATGAGAATGTTAGATCACTGGGTATGTTAGATAGATGAGAATGTGATTAATGTAAAACCTATTTGTGTTTGGTTATGATTAAGGGAATGCAACATTAAGTTGTTTGGTTGAATAATATCTTACATTGCATATTTGGTGAATTACCCGAATGCCCTTTAAATATTTGTCTCTTAACACATTAAACTTATTACAACCTATAATTAAAGTCATTAAATTTAGAGAAAAATAAAACATCTTAGTAATAATTAAAATAAAAACTAATAGAATTAATTCTAAGCAAAATGTATTTAATGCACAAATGACTAAAATTAGTGAACATTAGTAAATAATTTTAAGCAAAATATGTTTAATTGCACAAATGACAAAGATTAGTGAAAAGATATAGTATTAGCTTACAATATGCAGTATAATTGTATAAATAATTTCAAACAAATATAATGAAAAAATACAGTCTATTTTTAAAAATTACAAAATGAAGCTGAGTGGTATATCAGAAGTTGAGAACTTGTATTAAATTAATGAAGCATGGGGTTTTTGGAAGAAAACTAACAAGCCACCAGGAATCTAACAAAACCTAAGGCTCTAGTGGGTTTCACATGCCCATTCATGTGATCACCTTTTCCACTTTTGGGAATGTAACCTTCCCAAAACAATCAAACTCGCGAACCAAACACAGATATCTCACCTTTTCCACTATATAAGATATCACCTTGAACCAAACTTTGCCCAAGAGTTTAGGGGCAAAATAGTTGTATGTGAAGTTTAAGCGAATGAGCACCCATAAATGTCAGAGTGTATCCCTGTCTCTTCTCAATTGGATAATTAAGACGACGATCCAACTCTTCCAATCCCCTGAATACCCTCTTAATTGAAATGAAATCCTACTCTGAAATCTTCTACATTCATCCAGGTTGCAAATTTCTTTTTTAGGTTTACAACACATGTAAATTTTCAAATCTATATTCTGCTGATTTTATTCAAGCTGAGTTTCAGTGTTATCCTACCATCTGTGATTAGATTTAGTTTGATTAGAAGTATAATTTTCAAATAACTTGTTTCCCGAAGCTGCTTTGTGTTCCGACTGCTTCAAGAATGTATGCTTTCTTCGGGTTTCTTTTGGACCCAAGGAAAAACCCTATGTGTCAATGCAATGTGTCATTTTCATGAATACAGACCTTTTCAAATTTTAGGTTCTAGGAGAAGCTAATATAGAATTGATATAATCATCAATTCATCATCATATACATAAAATAAAAGCAATATAATTTCTTCTTTTCATTTTCCGCCAACATTTTTTGGAATAGGTTTTCGATTGCCAGAAATACTTTCTCGAGCTTTCTTTCTTTCTAACGTTGCAGTTTATTCTTGGAGGTTACGTCCAACACTAAACACAAAGAGCATCAAATTAAAGGAAAACAATTTGCATTTGTAGGAGTTAAAAGAGATTATATTGACTTTGTCAAATTAATAACCTTATCTTGTCTAAAGTATGTAGAAGTTGTAAATGAACCAGATGATCATACTACTATTACATTTTTAAAAAGTATTTAATAATACATAGGAGATCATCCAAAAATATAAATTCCATAAGTGAAGTGACCTAAATAAAGTCATAGACTTTGATTTGTTATTTCATATTTAACCGGTGTAGTCGATGCTAGAGAAACTCTTGAACATTAAGGTTTCAATTCTAAGATGTGTGAATATAATTGATATTGCAAAATGTAAGCTACTCCTTCAAATCCATGAGCATAATGGTGCTTAAATTCATGGGAGTAATGTAGTGGTTTGCTCCGGTCAAAATGGATTGGACAATAATCCGATTCGCCCGTTCAGTGGGATGAAACGCATCCCAAAACGCATACTCATCTCGGTTTTGGCACAGGTTTGATGCAGTCGTGCAAAGCCCGATTCCATTGTACGGTCCTTGTCCACAACATGCTACCTTTGTGGAAACAAATCCATAGGATTGGGGATTGTTGATGAAGTCCATTTGCATTTCCATGGCATTGACACCGACGAAGACGTCAGAGCCGAGTTGTTCATTGAGATCGGCGAGCATTTCAACGAGAAGTGGGTTGAATATCTCCGCGGCTAGTTGCGGATCCACCGCACATTGCCCGTTTCTGCTCCTCGTGGCAAGCTCTGCCGGAACGCAACCCATCGGTCCTGTACCCGTCACCAATACCCTCCTGCATCCCATCTCGTATAGCCTCTGATAAAAAAATACACATGCCAATTTCCAACCGTCAACTTATAATGTTAATCAAATTGATGGAGTTCACTGTTGGGTGATGAGCTGGGATCACTTGGCTAAGTCATAATGAACTTGACTCAAATGAGCAAATTGGATGTAATCAATTAACTAATTCAATCTATAAATGTTACGTCACCTTTGAATTGTGGTTTGGGACTCATTCATCAATATCTAGCTAGTTTTCTTTTTTGTTTTATATATACCCGTGATTCAAGTAACAAGTAAAGTTTACAAGAAAAGTGAAAACAAATTATAGTCTTTAATCACTTACTAATGAAAATATCATCGAACTTTAATCACAAGACACAACGTCAAAATTAAAAAGTATAAATGTATGTTTATAGTACAAAGTGAATAGTGAATGAATAAACTTACATTCATTAATGTTAAAAAATATTGTCAAGTTTTCTAATTTGTGCACCTTTTACTTTATATTGTGATACACTTTTGTGCTCTACATGTGCAGTTTTTGTAATTCTAGTACAAATTTGCTTCAATACTTTCGTTCAAAAAAATCATAATTATCATAACATCACGTGTTGTGATTCTAATTATAATTTGATTGTTTTGTTTCCTTTATATATCAAAGATTTCACGTTCTTAAATAAGCATTACTCGCTAAATTGCAGAGGAAATTAAATTGATGAAGAAAAGTATTATGTAATGAACTACTTACCATCAAGATCTTTCGATATTCAGAAATGAGATAATTACAAAAATTAGGAATGGTGAACTGAAGACGCCGGGCAGTAACCGGTACCAAAAAATAGTTGTTGACGAAGTCATTGCCACCGAGGGTGATGAGGGTCAATGCGTCGTTAACCAGGCTCTCCGCCTCTTCTCCACCTATCAAACTCCCCACTCTCTCTTTGTATGCCTGGAACATCTCCAGCTGCTGCCCCATTCTTATAATGTTTGCCTATATACATATATACATACATATATATTATCCATCCATATAAAGGAATTTTAATTTGTATTGAACCAAAAAGTTTTTAAATTTCAATTTAGCTTGCTTGATGAGATCATTCAAATAGTGTCTCATCATGTATTGTACTCAGTATATTAAGAGCCCGTTTGGTAACACTAAAATTGTTTGAATTGGCTGATTCTGCTAAAATTTATGAAGTTTAGCTGAAGTGGTTGTTTTGGCTGATTCTGTTGATTCATGAAAAAATTATATTTAAAATATTTTTATTAATAAATTAAATAAAAAATTATATGAAAAATAGCAAAAATGACCCTCTATAGTAACTTCAGCCAATACAGCCAGAAAAGTAACTTCAACCTTACTTTTTCTGTTTATTACAAAATTTAGAGCATGAAATCAAAAGTTACGTGTTGGTGAAAAAATTGGTTGATAAGCATGATAAGTCGAAAAAGAGGGTCACCAAACGGGCTCTAAAGTATCTCACACACTGGTAGGATAGGGGCGTAGCCAAGGCACTGGGTCGGTACAAAGAGTATTTTTGGGGAAAAAATTCCCCGAGATGTTTTACACTAAAAATACAGACTTTTTTAAAATTTAGGTTGAGCCGGTGCCAGGGTTGGCATCTCCCTCGCTACTCCCCTGGGTAGGATATTGACTATAAAGAGTATTTCTAAGGACATGTGACAATAAACCAAAAAAGACCGTAAAATGACTATTCAAACTATAAATACCCGAAAATCGGTGTATTTTTTGGTTAACAATACAAGTTTTTTCTCATTCGCAGTACGGTTAATCAACCACAAAAGCCTCCTTACTCGGTTGATAATCGAATAAGCCATCGAACTTACTTAAAAAGTGCAAAAGCTCAAGACAATGATCTCAATTGGGTCAAGTGGTAAGCACGATCGATCAAGTGGTCTACCCAGGCCTTGACCCAATTGGGTCAAGTGGTCAACAATAAAAGTTCAAGACTAAAAAGCTCATTAATTGTGTCATTACAAAAAAAAAGAAAAAAGAAATAACAGATCATTCTTAATAATTGGGCTTACAAATTGAAAGCCAGTGTCGCCAAGAATTCCAATTCCGGCAGAAGCAAAATTTGCACCAACGAGCAGCCTTTCACCCTTAAGTTGTGGGTTTAGGTAGGCCAATGTTGCCTCTGAACCTATAGCCTGGCCTGCAATCCATAATTGTATCAATCTTTAGAGAGTGGTTTATTACGAATTATGAGTAGTTTTAAGGAATCATGTAACTTTCGAAATTACATTGAGTACAACGTCATTATATATTAACACCATTCAATTTATTAGTCGAGGTTCCCACTAAAATGTGGTGGTGATGATGTTTCAACACTTCATGTGACTCTGCAAAGCAGTCACATATGATTCCTTAAAGTTTATGAACTAATTATAAATTTATAATAACATATACAGATACAATCTTTTAAGTTTCAATCTCTGTTTTTTAATTATTGTAATTTCTCTTACGACAAGTGGACAAGTAACTAAATAAAGTCTTATTTCAAAAACTAGTTGTTCCCAATGTGGTATAGAAATAAAACTTATAAGAAGTAATTACAAGATATACTTTCTGTATGTTTGTAGTCACCAAAAGTCAATAATAAGATCGCTATATAAATGAGATAATAGCTCTAAATAGGACTAAACTAATCCCTAAATGTGCAAATAGGAATATATTATTTATCTTCCTAAAATAGGACCAAAGTATACCCTATTGTCCTATTATACTCTTACATAACTTAATAGGATAATCATATTTGAATTTGTAATAAATACAAAAAAAAAATGACTTATACAAAAATCTTAAAAAATTAAAAATATCTAAAATAATCTTTTAAAAAATGCTAAAATACTAAAAAAAAAAAACACCTTCAAAAATTTGGAGGTCTTTCCCACAGTCTCAGCCACTGCCCAACCAAGTTTTCCCTAATCGGCTAAAACAATACCATTTTGTGTAAAACATCCATTTTTTCTAAAAAAAATGTCATGAAGATGTCATGTTTACTCTTTGAAAATGTCAAAGTTCTCTCGAAAACTGCCATCTTGATGACATTTCTAACACGTGTTGGCATTTTTTTCGATGATCGGAACTGATGGTGCCAGAAGGTTGCCGAGGTGGCGGGATAGACTTTGCATGTTTTTTTTTATGTTTTTGGTTATTTTTTATTTAATTTATCTAAAAAAATTAAGTTTTTTTATTTTTCAATTTTTTATTTTTATTAATTTTATTTAATATTTATTTCATTTTTTATTTTTTTTAAATTTTTTTTTATAAATAAAGTTATGTTATTACTTTTAATTATTGATGAAATATGAATAGTATTAAAACAAAGCAAGGTAGAATGGAAAAGCTAATCCTATTTAGAGAATTTTTAAGATATGATCTTATTTCGACAATTAGAGTTTCATTTAGTCTTATTTGAAGAATTATCCCACTACATAAATATGTTATATTTGTGTTCGTTACTTTTGTTTTAGTCAAATATAAGTTCGCTTGTACAGAGTAATTATTTTCAAATAATACTAGTAACTTTGTAAGCACTAAGCAGTTACTATATTATAAAGTGCACAAACTAAAAACAGTACACATTATTAATTCAGTCCAATAAATGGCCATTTCCTAGAGACAGATTATGAAGTGGTTTAAGAGAATCAAGATAAGGAAAAAAAACTAACTGATAAGGTCAGGAATGTTATAGCCGTTGGAGAAGCGGCCCGTGGCGGAATGAGTGGGGTAGTCGATCCCGTAAGGCGGGGAGTCGGCACGGGCCGACGTGACCAAATAGTTGTTATTGCCATTGTCCACAAGTGAATCTCCGAACACCAAGAAAGCTCGGGTTGCCTCGGAACGGCCCCAAATTGTGGCGGCCACCACCACAAAAATGGTGGCAGCAATGACTACAGTACTATAAGCCATAGTATTGCCAAAAAAAACTTCCGCGGGTAAATAGAGTGATGGTGATGGAAATGAGAAGAGCTCACTTCTGATCAGCTAGCTAGCTTTGTAGTGTCCCATTTTGTTGGGTTATTATGATCTTATTATATAACTAGCAGAAAGGCAATAGTGGCCCAAGAAGGATGGTGGTGGTTAGGAAGTAATAAATGGGCTGGGCGGGCCTATCCGATCCCTGAATTCCTTCAATTGCGTTATGTCGCACTGTTCCACACATGCAAGTGGTCAGTAGGGGACACATTATTTCCAATTGAGAGAGAGGGGTCTGCCTCTGCCATAGCGCATTGCACACGAAACTCAAGCCCTGAAGGTCAAGACGTACGTCAAGGACTCCTAATTTTTATACTCCATATGTCCAAACTTGCAAGAGGTTTTGAGCAAGGGCGAAGTCAGAACACAGGATCAGACTAGATTGGTACAAAAAAACAAATTGAAACATTTTTAGAATTTTTTTTCTTAAAAATATAGACAATTTTAAAATTTGGGCTAGATCGGGACCAAGGTTGGCCCCTCCCTAGCTACGCCCCTAGTTTTGAGTGCAAATGACTAGTTCAAGTGATTTACTTCCCACACTTGACCGTCTACTTTTAAAAGGTTTTGAATTTAAGTTATCAAAGAATTGAATTTGAGAGAATGATCTTTAATGATGATCTTCTAGCCCTAGAGAGTAGAGCTAACTCGAATAGTAGCTCAATCAACGTTTTGTCTCGGTTCAATCATTAGTGTGGAATTTGTTTCTTATAACTTAGCTTGTTGGTGTTTCACCAATATAATTGATGTGTGGTTCTTCCTATAGCTGTGTTGAAAATGTGAGCACACACGCAATCAATCGGTTAAGAGCGCATTCTTGTGCACGGTGATTTATAGGTGGCGGTAAGAATTTGGGAGATTGTTCGAACTATTAAGAATTAATTATCTCCATGATTTGATGGTTTCAGGTCTTGAGAGCCCAGGATTAGCTCGAGCAAGTCGAGATCATTTGGAAGCCCATGTGTTTAAGAATGTTCTAATAACAAACATGCCAAGTGATTTAAAAAGTAAAAAACACAACTCTCATATTCATATGATGTCTCTTCTCTAATAATCAAACTTCTCATTGCCACTCTCGGTGGTGAAAATCAGCATCGTTAATGTCCAACAAGAGTGTTATGCTCGTTGCAGGATTTGACCAATTGACCCGACCAAAATCTTAATTACAACACGAGCTAACAACAATCATGCACCACATGTATCTGCATACGTAATTACGTATTAAGTGTGTAATTGAATCATTAATTCTTCAATAACTGCTGTAGGGAAATAACGTCTTTTAGATCATTAATTCACATTTATAGAGAAATCCAAAATCAAGGTTAGAAAGACAAAACATCGTGATATTCACCCAATAAAGGGTACACCCGTACACGCCATAAAGTTTTGAAGAGGCCCAGATTAACAAAACTATCTGTAGTTCTACCCAGGGGCGGAGATACTGGGGTCAGGGTGGTCAGCCGACCCCGTTGAAAATTTTAGAGTGTAGAGCTCTGAAATATCTTCGATTTGATATATTATGGCTCTCGTAACTCATTACGAGTAAAGTTATGACTTCTGCAAAATCAGCACTATTTAAGTTTGAAATTAGTAAAATTGTGATGCGTAATATTAATTATATTCACAAAATAGCGTGTAATTCACTTGTTACTTAAGTGACATGACTTAGGGACAGAGCAAATACAACATATCTTACTGCTAGAGTGCCTACTCAATAAATGATTTTTTTCTAGTAAGAAATCTTGATACTAAACCAAGTAAGATCGAAGAGAACCATAGATTACTAGGGTAAGACAATGGGTCCCATCCGAGGTACTCAACTCAACCCGTATAAAACAAGTTTATACTATATGTGACATATATGAAGTATATTAACTACATATACTCTATTAATTTCATTTAAACTATCATTTATCTAAGCTACATTCAATTCGGGTATTGTCTAAAAATAATGGGGTAATTTGAGTTTGCACCCCATATTATTGTCAAAATTGGACTTTGCACCCCGTTTTTAAAAACCTTTGTTTTTGCACCCCAACCCCATATGAAAAGACAATAATGCCCCTCCATTAACAATTGTTTTGGCCTTCAACATATTCATGATCGAGGGACATTTTTGTCTTTTCATACAGGGTTGGGGTGCAAAAACAAAAGTTTTTACAAACGGGGTGCAAAGTTCAATTTGAACAATAATATGGGGTGCAAACTCAAATTATCCCAAAAATAATCTACCGTTTTGATTCTATGTAAATTTGATTTCGACCCCGCTAAGTCATTTTTCTGGCTCCGCCCCTGGTTCTACCCACACGAGTAGTTCAACGATGGTGACTGGTTGCTAGATTGAGGTTTCAAGTTCAATTCTGAGACAACCGCAGTGAGAGAGTTTCATCTAATGTGGTAATTCCTTGTGCGTATCAGGCTCTGATCTACCTCACTCAAAAACCGTTTTAGATTATACCGTGACTTATTTATCCATCATCTTATCGTGTCGTCCTATCGTGTTAGGGGACCTCAGGGATGGGGTGTCATCCTTTTTTTATCCATCATTTAGTCGAGTTGGTTTGTGGGGCGCCTCGGGCGGGCGATTCGATCTTTTTTGAATTTTTGTTTAATTCTTAATTTAAAAAATAGAATGTTCAATTTCTCGTTGACACGATTGTGGTGCACCATCTTGCAACCAAAACTGCGCCAATGCACTTATGACTTATGAGTTATGGCCATCACATGATTGTGCTTTGTCCTCGAAAATTGATTCACTCCCTCTGACCATCCTTGGGCACATGTCGCGGTGAAAAATCATGAGTATTACTTGCGAAAAATAATGAGTATTACTTGCGATGTTGCGAGTAATAAGCCGAGTATATGTAGATAGATTGCTCAAATCGAATTTTGTGAGAAAATTTATACTCGAACTTTGTGACTTGACTCGCATCTTGTATGTAGTACGGAGTATTACTTTATGTAACCTTATTCTGACAAAGAATCGGGGTTTAGGCAGACAACTCCGCCATGGAGATGAAGACTGCGACGATCGATATTTCGTCGGTCAAAGAAGAAAAAGAGGAGGAGGATGACTGCATCGTCCTAGATTCACATTCTGTCTCTAGGATTTCATCGCTAGAATTTTATTTGTCCGCTATCGTCTTTTAGTGAGGAGCGTGCCGTCTTCCGGCAATTCGTTCATGGATAGGGAGATTCGGCTGGAGGCGACTCAAGGGGCGATCAAGGCGATGAAGGAAGAAGATGCAGTGAAGGCAATCCGACTCCCTCCTGCACCGCCACCGGTGGTTCTTGAAAGGCTGAGTGAAGAAATGATTTTTTTTTTGCTTTTATTTATGTTAATGGTCTGAATTTGTCTGTGTTTGTTTGTTGTTTTATCTTTTTTGATTGTAAGACTGTGGTTTTGGATTTGGATGTGGGTGATGGAATGAGTGCGTTTTATCTTTTTTAATAGTGTAGAATTAATTATTAGTCAGTTTCCTATTTTGTATTTGGTAACTTATTTATTATAAATATACTCTCAGGGCTACCAGTCTGGTTAAGCCTGTTTATTATTCTCACATGGTATCAAGAGCCATCCCTTTACCCTAAATTTTTTCGGTTCTCATGGCTTCGTCCGCCGCCGCCGCTGGACAAACCACCGCAACCACCACCCCGATTACAACGACCGCATTCACTACGACGATGGCAGCGCCTCTCACCACGGCCGCGCCCGTCACCATGCCGGCAGTTTCTTCTATTACGTCTGCTCCGTTCTCTCTCTCGTTTGGCTCGGCGTCCACTGCCTTGCAGCCGCCGCCTTTTGATGCATCGGTTTGGGTTCCACCGGTGTTTGATTGGTCTACTCCGGTTACTGCCACTCCTTCGACCGGTCCAGACTCAGCCACACGGTCAGTTTCGGCATCCTCCTCCTCCCGGATGTTTTTTGGCGGTCCCACGTTTTCTGGAGCACAAGGATTAGCGCCGCCGCCTACGGTATCACCGATAGGCCGACCGGCAGCAGCCCGCACTAGTTCCCTGGAGGCAATTGCACAAGCTATGGGCTTTTCGGCTCCCAATATTACGAACATTGTTACCACCAAGCTTGATGCAGTTGAAGATTATCTTCCCTGGCACACCCAATTTGAATCGTTTTTGGTTTCTCATGGTCTCATGGGGATCCTAGATGGTACTATCACTGCTCCTCCTCAATTTATTTTCGATGCTACTCGTAGAGAAGTTGTGAACAACGAGTATTATTATTGGCTAAAGTTAGATCAAACAGTTCGTTCTTGGCTGTTTGCTACTTTATCCCGTGATATACTTGTTGAAGTTCATACTCTTCAAACTTCTGCTACCATTTGGGAAAGACTTGAATCTAGATTTATGGCTGCCAGCATGGCTCGTTCTATGGAATTAAAACGCATGTTCAATAATACTAAAAAGAAGGACAATCAAACCATGGAACAATACATGCGTGAAATTCAGAAAATTACTGATGCCCTTGCCACGATTAATTCACCGGTCTCCCTGAAAGATATAATTGAGCAAACACTTCTCGGTCTTGGTCCTGATTATGAGTCTATAATAACCACATTGACTTCGTTTCCGGAGGGACTCACGTTTGATAAGCTACGGAGACGACTTGTTGAGCAAGAGCAACACATTCTTTATCTTCGCTCTCAGGAGGCATCGTCGCCCGCTGCCTTTGTTGCTCAACCCGTGGCCCCAGCAGCTCCTGGCAATGATCCGAGAGGTGGCAATCAATATCATCGGGGACGCGGACGACGTGGTCAGCGTGGCAGAGGCAACCGCGGCCGAGGACGCGAGAACGGACAGTAACACCAGCCGAACTACATGGCTCCCGGGTACGGCCCGCAGCCTGGCTACTACCAGCCACGGCCGGGACAGCAGCCCCAAGGGGGGTATTTTCAGCCGCAAGTCTATCATCCGCAAGCTCCTCCTCATGGACGTCCAGGTTCAGTTATATGTAATACGGTTTTTTCATCGTTACATACGCATCCCTACTTTATTTATGGTACTAATCA